GTCGTTGAAACAAAATTGAACACAGGCTACGTTCGAGCTGATACAGCTAGATTTATAGAGACATAAATCCCGAGCCTTTTCCGTTTGTTATGTTCTTTGTTATCAACACAGTACTTTTAAATCTGTTAATTCCTGGAGATTACCACACTAGAAACAGAGTAATTTATAGACCAATAAACAAAACTTTCACAAAGATGAAATGGAATGATTTCATTGAACCCTTATGGAATCCCCCTAAGTGCTGATATTAGTATAATTCATTACTGAGATGCCAAAAAGAAGAAAACCACTTAAATCTTGAGACATGTTTTAATTTCATGGTGGATGTAGAACACAACACTATGAGTTTAGTAGACTTGCTGGTTTGCTGGTGCTGAGGTACCTTCTCGGCTACCCCGGACCCTGCAGATACATTGGGAATCAAATTCTGATGAAAAACACACAACACACGGCAGCTCCTGCCCTAGCCGACCTCGCAGCCCCCGAGCCCCCGTCACAGCCGATGTTGTCGGGCTTGTTCACGGACAGAGGCCGGTTGCAGGACCGAGAACATGCGCGTCACTCCCGCGCGTTGTGGAAGCTGACACAGGGCTTGTACGCCTCCTGCACGCACCGTCCGCTCCCGTCATCTCTGCCGAGTCCTCAGCTCCGAACAGGAGGCACGCGTGTGGGCCACGGCACTTGTTTTCCATCGTTTTTGATTTCAGGTGACAGGCAGATATGGGAACAGGTGACTTTTCGAATGGTGTCCTTTGCTTTCTTGATTCTTTGTAGAAGAGGAGGAAGAGTGGTATGTTAGAGCCGTGGGGTGCTTCCTTCTCTCCAGACTTGTTCGGCCTCACTCGTTATTCTGTGAATGTTGTGTGACCCTGACCAGCGGGTGACCATCGGTTCTTCAGCTATCAAGTAAGAGCGTAGGACCAGGTGGTCTAAGTTTCTGTCCAGGTCTGTGACTCCTGGCCTGGGCAGAGTGACTCCACCCAAAAGGCTCTGAGGTCCCCGTGTCCCACATTACCTGCAACAGCGCGAGGCCACTGGCCAGAGTATACTGAATGAATGCTGCGTGTCTGAGGGGATATTGTTGGACATGACTCCATGATTCACAGTATTTCGGCAGAAGGCTATTTTTGAAGCAGTATTAAGAAAGCCGCAGTGTCCTTTAGATTTGTGACACCATCAAACACAACCCCAAAAAGTTAGTTTGAGCAGCACAGTGCCATTGGAAAAGTCATCTTTGATTAATTTTAGATGAGCCTGGATGTCCTACCTCGCCACACTTCCCCACACTTCCTGTTGTCTACTATCCAGGCTCCGTTGCTTGTTTATGTTGATTGCAGACGTCTGAGTTGGTGACTCTGGTGAGTAAAAATGTCCATCTGCACCTGGCCGGTGTGGCTCAGTGGTTGAGTGTTGATCCATGTGCCAAGAGGTCGCTGGTTCGATTCCCACTCAAGGCACATGCCCAGGTTTTGGGCCCAATCCCCAATGGGGGGCATGCAGGAAGCAGCTAATCGATGTTTTCTCTCATCGATGTTGCTCTCGCTCTTTCTCTCTCCCTCTCCCATCCTCTCTCCCTAAAATCAATAAAGAGAAAAATATTTTTTTTTAAAAAATGTCCATCTGCTTTTTTCATGGTGTCATGAGTACCAAGCAAGAGTCTCCTGAGTTTTTAGACCAGCAGTTTTCAACCTGTGGGTCACGACCCCTTTGGGGGTCCAACGACCCTTTCACAGGGGTCACCTAAGACATAACAGTAGCAAAATTACAGTTATGAAGTAGCAACGAAAATAATTTTATGGTTGGGGGTCACCACAACACGAGAAACTGTATTAAAGGGTCGCGGCATTAGGAAGGTTGAGAACCACTGTTTTAGATCTTTGTGGACTTTTTCAGTTATTTTCCTTTCCTTTTTTCCTTTCTTTCTACTGTTATTCCTTGCAAGGGCTGCTGATGGGATAGATGGGATAGTGTTGGAAGGGTGAGTGAAAAATGAGCTCTTAGTGCGAAAAGTTAGGTACGGCCTGTGTCTCAGGACACTTTTAGGAAGGAGTAGGAAGAAAAATCTTGATTTTTAGAGTTTAAATGCAGAGTGCCCTTTGCTTTCTGACTCGATTGAAGATGCCAATAAACATAGTTATCGATGGAGCAGAAGGACCAGCACTGCCAGGCGCATTCGTGTGGCTTTGGGACAGAGCAAACAGCAAGAGGGTCCTTTTCTGTCCCGGGTCTCAGGGATGACAAGCTCTTCCTCCCTTCCTCCCCCAGGACAGAAGAAAGAGCAGGTGGAAGAGCGCTCTTGTCACTTCATCTCTTACAGCTGGTCCTGAGCCCAGTTAGGGGAAGAGCCTCCCGTGTTGGTCACCAGAATTTTGATGCTTGTCTGTGTTCACTCCGGAGCTGGAAACCTGAGTCTCGGAGAAATCCCTTTCTGAGACCGTGAAGTAAGCCAGAAAGCCACAGGGGCAAAATGCCGGCGCTGCTTGCCAGCTCCTCACTGTATTGCTTTCCTCAGTTGAAACATGGGGGTTCCTCGGCTGTTCTTACACCTTATCTCCTCCCACAGGCTCCCAGCATTGCTGGTTCCTGAAGCACCTGGGGTGATGAGGTTGTTCCCTGTGTCACCTGCGTGCGGGATGTGCACGCACGACCCACGGCCCCCGGTGCCTCTTCTTTTTTTTTTTAATCTTCACCCAAGGATATTTTTTTGTCTTTTTTTCTTTTCTTTTTTTTTTTTAATCTTCACCCGTGGACATTTTTCCATTTTTTGTTCAGATAGAGTGGGAGGGAGAAGGAGAGGGAGGAAGGGAGAGAGAGAGAAACATCGATATGAAAGGGACACATCAAGTGGCTGCCTCCTGCACGACCCAACCAGGACCAGGGACAAACTGCAACCGAGGTACGTGCCCTTAGCAGGAGCTGAACCCAGGTCTCTCTGGACCACAGGCCGACGCTCTAACCAATGAGCCAAACCAGCCAGGGCCCCTGTTGCCTTTTCTAAGCCCAACCTCATGGGCTTTGGAATCCACGGTGTGCATTTAGTGTGTCTTTGTGTGTGCACATGTACACATGTGTATGCTTTGACCATTTCACTGCAACTCGTTCTAGCTTGCTCTGTGTCTCTTGGAGGAATAACAACAATAATAACTGGTATTTATTGATCATTTCCTATGGGACAATCTCTATGTACGAGGACTGAGTGAGGTGTCACACCAACCCTAGGAGGCGGCGCTCTCGCCCTCTGCACTGACCTCCTCTGGAAGCTCCTGTACCTTGAAGGTCCTTGCCTAAGAGTATTCATGGCATGACCTTGTTTCTACACTGACCCTTGTCTGCCATCTGTCCTGGGGTAGAATATCAGTCCTTAAAAGTGATGGGCTTTAGGAGAAGGATATGTTGAAAAATGGACCTATATATTGAAATCATCTGGCCACTCATTGAAAGAAATGCAGCATAACTCTAGGCAGGTCAGCGAGTGGAAACACAGACGTGAAATCTTCCTTGGGTCTGAATTCCGTCTCCTCTATCCACTGGCTGTGTGGCCTTGAAAAACGATTTAAACTGTTCCGAGCTTCCGTTTCATCTGGAAAGCGGCTGTGGTGATGTAATTGGTGGACACTGACTGTAGGTGTTGTGATAGTGACGTGTGGGGCTGGAGGTTCACTGGCCTGTGGTAGATGACCAATGAGTGGTGACTGTTGTATTTGTTCTGAGGAGAAGTAGTTTAGTTTAAGTCAGTGGCTGTTGAGTAGTTTATGGTGGTAAGGTTCTTGCAATATAAACCATGGACCTGTATGAAAGAAAGGCATTCTGTGATGAGTTACACTTAATGTTCCAAAGAGCATGGCCTTTAATATTTTTGTTATAACAGTGTGATGGTCTCATTTCCATTACTGCCTGTTAATGGAAATATTACTGCCGCCGTGGTTTTATGAAGGAAACATCTAAATGTGTAAAAACACCTGAATAGGTATAACATCGATTCGAGAGTGGGGTGGGGGGCTAAGTAAGATGTTATATTTCAAAATTGGTTTTGTTCTAAAGATTAACTTCCTAAGGCATAATTGTATATACTTAACTCTGCTTTATATTGTGTATCTTTTATGTAATCAAATACTAATTGAGCAACTATCAAATAGAAGAGATGTGCTGGGGAATAAAACATCATTTAGTAACAATGAGAGCAATAGCAGCTAACACTTATTGCCTGTCACTATATTCCAGACACTGTGCTTAGCACGTACCCTGGATTCTGAACTCAGAGGACTTACCGATTTGTTAGGAAAATAGAATTTGTACCATAAAGTCCAAATAACAACTTACACATGATCTTAGGCAAAAGGCCAAGAAGCAATAGCTAAATAACAACTTAAACTAAGGCAGCTTAAACTAAGTTTTTAATATTAGCTAATATCAGACCATATGCTCATGTGACTACTAGCGTCTAGAAATGATTGACTTTTGAGAGCATTTGAGATCTTGTTCCCTGGCATATGTGGCAAGTTTGGCTTAAGCAAACTCTTATGAAAACTCAAAGTAAAATATAAATATATATATATGTATATGTATATGTATATGTATATGTATATGAAATTATCTACTTTTAATGTGTTTTATGAAGTTCAGATCTTATACCACAACTAAGACGGGTCAAGTCTCAGATTTTGTGATTGCCATAAATGAGTGACAATTTCTTTTTCTGTAATACAGTTATGCTTATTTTGTTTTAATACTCTGTATGATATGACCCCTATCTGTCTCATATATAACACACATAACTTAACGTATTAATGCAAAAGCTATATTGCATATATATGTGGGTTTGTGCGATAGGTAGGTAATCTGGGTATTTTGCAATTATTTTAGAAGCCATTCCCCAATCTCACCACTGGAGGTCAGCTTGACCCCTTTTCTCTTAATAAAACTCCAGCAGATTTCCTTTTTATGATTAAAACAGCATTGCAGTCAGAGCTTTGCTCCGAACACATGAAAAACAAAATTGCGTGCTCTCTTGGGCAGCGCATATACTAAAGTCGGAGCAATAAAGAAGATCAGCATGGCCCCTGTGCAAGGATGACGTGCAAATTCATGAAGCGTTCCATATTTAAAAAATAAAACTGCTCTCAGCTTATTTCACAGAGCAGCACTCACGGATATGTAGACATAGGTCTGCACGCACAGGCATGATGCCTAATGTACGTACAGAAGCAATGCGTGACGGGTTTATGGCTACTGTTACAGTCATAGGATAAAAAGACGAAGAGCCACCTGAAAACAGTGCCTTGTGACACTGATCATCTGTGTTTCATCTAAGAATGAACTCACCAAAATGAAATTAGAGGTCTCTCTATCATTTACTGATTCACTATATAGTAAGTACTGGGTGCCAGGCACTATACCAGATGCTGGAGGGAGCAGGACAGACATGGTCCTTTCTTTCTGAGCCTTGTAGTCCAGTCAGAGAGACAGATATTGAAAAAATATTCACTCAGTAAATATAATTAGGTGAGTGTTGTGGAGAAATGTAGAGTACGAGACGCTCTGGGAGGGTATAATTTAGATCTGGAAGAGCAGGGAAGGGTCTTTTTAGGAAGTGACATTTCAGCTGAGGTCTGAAGGGTGAAGAGGAGCTTGCTCGGCTGGCTCGAAGGACTGCAGAGAGGCTGTGTGACTGCATCCCTGGGAGACAAACAGGAGAAAGGTTGGAGCTGCAGCTCTGGAGAAGTATATTTCAAATGTGTTAGATGGCATCCCAGAATTTTAAAATGCACTTTATATTGAGTCCCAGATAACGTGTGTGTGTGTGGCTATATGAGAGAGAATAATTTTGTTAAACAGAATTTGTTTAATCTGGTCTCTTCTGGTATGTTCAACTCTCTTTTTATCAAAATGCTGGTGATAAAACGTAAATTGATTTGCTTTCCCTCTAATGGTTCATGGACTGCGGTTTGAAAGACAATGAAGTGCAGGAGGGTGAGAGGCTGGGTTCTGGAAGGGTTTGTTGGTCTTTTTAAGGTTTCCCAATTTCATCCTCCGGACAAGGAGAACCTGCTCATTCTGAGCATAGGACTGTGCGACATGAATACATTTGCATTTTCAAAAGATTCCCCTACCCCATGACTGGTATCTGCTGCAAATACATAGATATAATAACATAATTTAAAGTGTCAATCAAAAAATAGATGAATGGGTTTTTCAAATTTTTACTGCGTTTATAAGTTTATATCAGTTTATACTTGCTGATATTTGGCCTCTTTTAACTTATAAAATAGCAAATTTCATATGGCTTAATCTAATATAGCCACACCAAAAGGCACAGAGGTGAGCGTGTGCTGGAATTTATTTCTCTGGATGGACCGTCTCTGAAGTGTTCACGGGGCCTCAAGCAAGCATTGAGAGACCACAGCTGAAAATGTCCTGAGGCATTGCCCGTGTGACGGTGACACTGGAATATTTATGGTAACTCTCTTCAAATTAGAATTGTTGAGACTGCTCGTGACTCTTGTGTCCTGTCACTCACAAAATAATCTCGGTGAGCAGTTTTCCAGTGTTCTGATAATCCATGAAAAATAAAATGGCTAAAAATCATTTATCTAATTTAAATGAGCATTCCCTGTCCCTGACCAGGCTGAATATATCATTGGTCTTGTTCAATGAGCCCAAACTGATTTTTTACTCCATAAAATATAAATAATGGTGACCCACTACTGGTCAGTTTGGTTATTTTCACTTGTGTTCCTTCATAGACCTTTCGTAGGTAACCTTTCACTTCTAGAGTTAGATGTTTGGGGACTCCTGTTGTGCCGATACAGACACAGGAAAATGATGAAAAGATTAGGAAAGGAAGTGAATTAAATATCCAAGTTACATTTATTTCACGTGTTTTTCCTAAACAAATATTTCATTGAATATTTCCTTCTCTCACAGATACCAGTTTCATTTGTTTATTTTTTAGGTAAATGAAATCTGAAAACTAAGATATTATTAAATAAGCTGGGGGGAGGGTCTTACCATTTAAAATGCATTCGCAATCAGCCTTACTATACATGTGAACGCTACCCCTGATATTTTTCCTACTTCAGACTAGTTCCCAACCACTTGATCTCACCCCCTGCGGTAGTGAACCCCTCTTACTTTTATGCATAAAGCGTTTTTCTTTTGGACGTTTCATTTACAGCACCTAAAATAACACTGACTCTCATGTTGATGACTACACTCGAGTATCGTGATTTCTGTGTGAAATCCCAGCGCTGCAGAGTAGGGCTCCGTCTCCAAGCCAGAAACAAATGGAAACGCCTTTCCTCTCGCTATAAAACAATGGTGGCCAGGCCCAGCCACGAGGAGGGAGGAAACCAGATCGCACGGCGAGCCTGGCACATCAGCCACACTAGTAAAATCAAATCCAATGTTGTTTTATGACTCTGAATTTATGGGAGTGCCCAGGATCAAAGGGCTCGAATCCCACTGGACTACAAGGTCCATAGTTCATGGCAAAAACTCATCAAAAAGAACATTTCAGTCGTTTAAGCTTTTCATTTTAATCAGCCACAGCAATAAAAGAGCCTTTAGGTGTCCAAAAACATTTTGCAAGATCAAGAGGTGGTTTCTCTCGCTCGCAGAGGCGGCCTTCTTATTGGATCCATATAATGCCTGTGGCCTCGGAGTGTCAAAGGGCCACTGCCTCCGCGTCGTTTGCCCTTGCGGGATGGTTTCTTTTGGTTCTTCTGACTGTGTATTATGTGATAATGAATTATGGTGTCTGACGGAAGGACCATAAAATTTTCACGCAATCTATCAAGCTATTTCAGCCATTTAACGTTTGGTCTCTGACAGCAAGCCAGCACTTGGTAATGTTTAGACAGAAACAGAGCCTACTGCGGCCTCTTGACAAGTGTCTAGCGAGAGCCCTGCTCCTGAGAAGGGAACACGAGGCTTCAGCATCAGACCCATGACCCTTCGTGTGATGGCCGTTTGGGGCAGTCCACCAGATAGGGATCCTACTTCCACCACAGCGTGGGTTGTCCAGATGATGTAAGGTAACATTGGCGAAGTTACTACCCAGCGGTAAGAACAGATGTGCACTAGGCGTAGGGCAGGCGTGGAACCAGCCTGAGCCAGCCCGGCATGGTCCACAGGAGACCTGAGTAGGTGGAGGGGAGAGCTGACCACACTGGAACAGAGTGATAGAACATGTTCTTGAGTGTATGAGGAAGGTGAGATCAGGGATCCCGGAGGCTGCATTAGCTCTGGAGCATTTCTTTTAAGATAAAAAGAAAAAAAAAGTTTAAATGAGTGCCTTAGTCTATAGACTTCGGGCACCTTTATTTCTTTGTCTCCGTTTTCTAACTAGATCCCCTAAATAGAAAAAGGAACTCAAAGAGCTAATATTTCTCCACTGGAGCTCTTAGATGCCCCCTGCCACCTCTTCTGCATGTTTTCTCGTCCCTTGTTCTCCTTTGGCAGGTGTGTTCCCCCATTTTTAATGATAAATGAGGCCGTCGTGTACCTTAAGATCCCTTTGCTTGACCACACCGCTTCTTCGAGCTTCTGTCTCTCCTCTCGCTGGTACATTCTCAAACATTAGTTGCATGTAGATGATTCTCACACCACTTGCCATCTGTTGCTCCTGTACTGAGAGAGCGGAGACCACAGATGCAGTGAGTATCGCGTGCTTTGGCTCCCTGCCGGTCCTCACTGAATCTGGAGTGTCAGTGTTCAAGTCTCCTTGGACATCGGAGACTCTGCATTCTCCTTGCCTCCTCCTCTGAGTGTCTCTACATCTTTGTTGCTGTCACTCAGTTCTGACTCTGCAGCATCCCCATCGGTGACCCTCCAAAGGGTGGTCTTTAGTTACCTCTTTCTGCACATGGTCTCTCAGAGATTTCATTTACTACTGTGTAAAGGCTTCTTAGACCTAATTATTTGGATTCAAGTTTTCTTGAGTTTCAGCTCCAGGAAAGTTCTAGTTTTTTGTTGTTGTTGTTTTTGTGTTTTGTAGGAAAACCTACACTGGGAAATGTTTTCAGTAGCACAAATGTTAAATTTCCAAAACCAGCATAGGACTTGTCTGCTTGTCTCCTCCTGACTTGCCTGCCACCCAATATAAACACAATATAAACTGTCTCTTTTCTGAGCGGCCCTATGTTTCATGTTCTGCTTTTCTCCTACAAGTAGAAGTCCTGGCCCAAAATCGCAGATGCATTTTTGGCAGCTCCTGACCCCTCACCTTCTGCATCCTGTCGATGGCAAAATTAGGCTCATGTTAGCCCCATGGCCCCTATATACACTTGTTCTTTGCTGCCTGCTGCTTTCAACCCCAACGTAGGCCTTCATCCTAGCTGCCTGTATTCCAGCCATGTTATAAATTGTTTAGAGATTGCCGTTCCTCCCTCTTAAACACCTTTGGTGGTTCACTGCTGCCTATCAAGTGAAGTTCAAAGGCTTTAGCATGGGATTTAAGACCTTGTAAAATCCGAGTCAGATGTATAACTTTAGTTTTCTCTCCCACTATTTGCCTCTGTCTCCCACTTGGATTGCTCACAGTGTGCCAGTCTACCTTATGCTAATCCTCTGTTGCCTGGCAGGGGTGCCTTGTCGTACACGAAGCCATCTCTGCTTGCCCGGGTCTCCATCTTTGAAATCTCAGGCTCTTTATACCCAACTCAGGCATGTAGTAGACTCACAGTGATGAAAGCAGACGTGTCGCCCATTCCTTCCATCCCCGGTGCCCAGCACAAGAGGGACATAACCCTTCAATAAAGAGCAAGAAATGGTCGCGCCTGCCGTGACAGTCATGCACGCATTAATGCATAAATCAACCCCTGTTGGTTTCCCTTTTGCTCCTTCTGTACTGGAAACTGGGTTTAAACCAAAGCGATTTTACAGGCAGGATTCTTCCATTCCACAGACACAGGAGAACTAGACTAAGAAAAATAGGTTCCCAGAAGGTTTTTAAAAGACATCTCTCTTCACAGTTTATATTTTTCTTCGGGGAGGATGGTGTTTACTGTTTCTCATTGCCGTCGATGCACATTTCTCCCGTGTTGCCTGTTCAGACAGCTTGCGGTGAGGGATCATTTGTATCCGGTTAATTTAAAGCAACATGGAC